AAAATTTCCTACAGAAATCAGAGCAACAAAGTTGTAGATAAAAGGTTTCACAATTTCCAGATTGGAAAAGTATACACACTGGTGACATATTAATTGGAAGAGTAAAACACATAGAAGGACAGAGAACCAAAATGCAGAGTGAGCAGGAGATATTAAAGCTATGGGCCAAACTGAAAGAGATGAAATTCAATATAAATCAAGGTTAAATTATACATCTATGGAAGGAAAAAGCAGACTGACTCTCAGCTTTTCAGAGTCTCTCTCTGATCAATTTTGAGAGACAAGGGGGCAACTGTAGATCGCAAGCTAAATGTTAATTATTCATATTATTATTATTTGTATTATCATAGCACCTAGGAATGCCAGTCATAGACTAGGACCCCACTGTGCAGCAGTGTTGTTTACAAAGACCACCACATTTGGGGAACCACATGTACAGGTAGAGAAGAAATACAATGAGACCATACCTACGCTACTGGCTATTAGTTTGAGCTCCCATTTTCGGGAGATGCTAAGAAACTATAAACAGGATAACAAAGTGATACATGGATTAGAGGATGAGTCAAATGAAATGAGCCAGAGCACACTAAGTTTATCTAGTCTGAAAAAGATCACCATATGCTAGTAATACCTTCAAAGTCACAATTTAAATGAAGGTATGGAACTGTTTCATCTCAGGGCAGATATACACTAAAGAGTTAAGTCAATCTAGCTACGTCCCTCAGGGGTGTGAAAAATCCACACCCCTGAGCAACACAGTTAAGATGACTTAAGGCCCCATGTACACAGAGCTAGGTCGATACAATAATTCTTCCATTGCCCTAGCTATCGCCTTTCAGGGAGGTGGATTACTTATGTCAAAGGGAGAACCCCTCCTATCAGCATAGGTAGCATCTACACTGAAGTGCTACAACGGTGCAACTCGGAAAGTTGTGCCACTGTAGAGTTCCAAATGTAGACAAGCCCTCAGATGATATCAGGAATCTGAAACTAAGAAAAAGTTTAGCCTAGATATTATGAAAAACTTTACTGGACAAAGACTATCAAGATTTCCTCAGGCAGAACCATGAAAATTATTTACCGTTTCATCGTTCACCACAGGGTTCTGAATATCAGCAACGAAACTAACTAGGAGAGCTCTCCTGTTGGCATAGAGCCAGCTTTTTAGTTCTGTGGTGGGTCACAGCCTGGTGTCACTTGTGAGATACTTTCCCCCTGAACCGGTCAAAACATTTGCTGTATGCCTTCCCTCCAGTTCTGCTCCTGCCCAAGGTCTTGTCTAAGATCAAACAAGATGGTGCTCACATCATACTAAAAGCCCCAGCACAGCCTCACCAACATTGGTTTTTGTCTCTACTAGTCCTATCAGTCAGAATCCCTATGATGCTTCTAAGAAATGCGGATGTGGTCTCCCAGGACAACAGCTGCTCCTCCATCTGACAGCATGGATGCTAAGTGGCTAACTTCCTTGGAAAGTCTTTGCTTTAAAGAAGAACGCCATGCAAGCCAAATGGATGGGCCCAGACTTCTTTGATATTTATATGGAGAGTGAGGTCCTAGGATGACCAAAGCCTCTGTGTCTGATGGGGGCCTAAATGAGCCACAAACACTCGTGGGTTGTTATGAGACAATGTCAGGAGAGGAAAAGGCCCATGTACACCACAGTGCAAAAGAACTGTGGCCAGTTTAATAAGAAACACTCAAGAGAGAGAGGAAAGTTATTTGGGAAAACCTGATTGAGACAGGACCCACTGAAGTCAGGCCTGCGTAAGGTTACCATCAGAGGCAGTATGCCTTTAGATGCACGTAGACTGTCATTTTAAAATCTTTTTTCTCTAGATCCTTTACTCCCATTGCAAAATAAACAATATTTTTGTTTTAAGAGGACTGTTTTATCACCAGATACCACTGGTCACAGACTCCTGAAATGAAGAACCACAGGTTTCCAAATTCAGTCAGACCTGCTGGGTAAGATCAGTTATTACACACAGAATCATAAAAATGTACATCTGAAATGGACCTCAAAAGGTCATCTAGTCCATCCCCCACATGTTAAAGCAGGACCAAGTATAACTAGACCATCCTTAGACATTATACTATATAGCCCAGGGCTTGCTCTAAGAGTGGGAGAACTGCAGAATTCCACCCCAAAATAGGTAAAAGGTAGAAAAGCCATTAGTCAAAAGCCACTTGAGGGACTGCATTCAGAGAGACAAGAAAGGGGATAGAGATGCAGCTGGCCTTGTAATCATGACATATTAACCAAAACTTCTGGACACAAGTTAAGGTTATTGCGTGTTGCGTGTATGAAAAATAACTGGGTCATCACAACATAAATCAATTTTGAGCTACGGGTAAACAAGCAATGACATAACAAACCCTCTCTCTGCAGAGAAGCAGAATAAAGACTATGAAACAGTTATATTTGTCAATGCAATGGTACCCCTGAGAAAAAGATGAGAACATTTTTGAAAACTTTGAGGGAAAGAAGTTTACAAGTGTAAGATAGCTTGTAGAACTGACAACACAAGCACCAATACCTCACTATTATTGTGTTTCATTATTTCCCAACTAAATTAATACCAAGCTGAAAGGAAACTGTTTCATCCTTCTACATGAAATAGGAAAAATGGTGATTTAAACTCATGCATGGTCTGAACACATCTAGATTGCATTTAATCAGCAGGCATTCTTGTTGGCCTTCATGAAATGTAAATAATGGAGGGAAAGGGGAGGGGCACCCCGACCAGGGGCTACCACCTTTCACTGGGCTCCAACTTCTAGTCCGCCAGGCTGGAGAAAGACCAGACTTCCTCTTCCCCTGCACGGCCCCTCATGGGGGGAGATCAGACCCACCTCCAGGTATCTCTCCTGGCTGCAGAAAGCTCCAAGCCTGCGCTGCCCTCGGAGTTGGGCTCTGAAGGTAGCAGCTACAGCGCTTCCTGGAGCTGGGGAAGGTTCCTGGAAGTGGTTCTGATATCCCCCATACTGCTGGGAGCGCCCAAGCTGGAGGCTCCTAGCTATTAGTCCAGGCCGGGCTGGGGAGGGACAGGACTTCTTCCCCTGCACAGCCACTCTGGGTGGTGGGGGAGGGGGGAAGAGATCAGACCCACCTCCAGGTACCTCCTCCGGCTGCAAGAAGCTCCGCAGCTGAATAAGCCTAGCTCTGAAGGCAACACAGCTGTGGAGCTTCCTGCAGTCGGGGGAGATACCCAGAGGTGGGTATGATCTCCCTCCCGAGCAGCCATGCAGGGGAAGAGGAAGTTCTGCCCCTCCCCAGCCTGGCCCAAACTAGCAGCTAGGAGCCCCCAGGTGGGGCACGCCCAGCGGCACGGGGGAGATCAGACCCACCTTCACCTCCAGGAAACTTCCCCAGCTACAGAAAGCTCCACAGCTCTGAAGGCAGCACAGAAGTGAGGGTGGCAATCCCCCCCAAAACAGCTTTTCAACCCCCATGACCCTCTTTTGGGTCAGGACCCCTACTATTACAACACCGTGAAATTTCAGACAAACATCTGAAAATGTGAAGTTGAACAATTTTAAAACCCTGAGGCCGTGAAATTGAACAAAATGGACCGTGAATTTGGTAGGGCTATACTGTCAGACTCACTTTCTTAAAGTGTAGCAGATCTGTGGAACATATCCTAGCAAGAAGCAGAAGATTACACTACAGTAGCAATTCCTGTTAACAGCAATTAAAAATAAACTTACTTCTTTAAGAAACAAAGCATTGTGGCCTATGTTTATTCATCTTTTTTACTACTGTACATTCTGAAACCCACAACCATTTTAAAATATCTTTAAATCTGTTCAGCTGCAACTAGACAACTAAAAATATCCACTGTGTTTTTAGATCTGTGTGATTTAAATGCTCCCTCAAATCTCTCTCACAGACCCTGCTTTCAGACCAACAAGGAAGTTTTAAAACTGCAACAACACTTAGTTTCACACAGAATGTTTCCAAGATGGTAGCAATTCCAGTTGGAACGATCAGAAGCATTTCAATGTACACCTCTACCCCGATATAACGTGACCTGATATAACACGAATTCGGATATAACGCAGTAAAGCAGTGCTCCGGGGGGGGGAGGGGGCTGCGCACTTCGGCGGATCAAAGCAAGTTCGATATAACGCGGTTTCACCTATAACGCGGTAAAAATTTTTGGCTCCCGATTACAGCAGAGTTGTATTATTTTTCCCATTTGCTTTTTTAGAGTGCATATATTTAAACATAAGCCATTGTGCTTTCATTTAAATATGCTTCTTTTCCAATCTGAGATTCTGCCACCATCTTAGAACAGCTGTGTGGTAGACTCCTGTAGCTCATGCAGAAACAAGCAGCATTTGGTGCTCTGGTCCATTCAAGGTGAAGGTGCTATATTATATTACTGTTTGTCTTTACAATGCCCTCATCACCAAGAAACAAAATTTAAAAACTCTTACATCACTTCAGGCAGTGCTACATAAGTCTTCTAATGAGATGCAGTTTTCACAATTTGCCAACTGTCAGTTATGTAATTAAATTTTATTACTGAATAGAATATGCTGAAAATTTCCAGTCTTGCTCTCTTTTTCGGGCTGAATATATTTTGAAAGTTTCAACAAAAACTGCAACCTTTATTCAGGCATTTCTGCACTTCTGAGTGCTTTAACACAGCAACCATAGCGGTAAGATTTTTTGTATGTAATTATTTATATAGACTGTGATAACAACCATAGCATGCTATGTACTTTTCTACTTTAGAGTATAGTAATCTGAAAAAGTAAAAGTTTAAAGATGAGTAAAATACAAGAAACATGAGAAATAGTGCTATATTTATTCTAACATATATACATACTGTACCTTTATGAGATGCTTAACTTTTAACATTAAGTTTACAGCAAGTCAGATTTCAACAATTTTTTTCCATTGACATCATATTAGTGTCATACACAATTTGCTCCACCTCAGTTCTATCACTTAGTATTTCAAAGCAATCAAATTATCAATTGAAACTTACGTTAACTAAACCAAAATAGTGCTCATTGACTGGAAACTGTTCCGGACCAATCTCTTTCTCTAAAGTTGAGGCATTGGCGCCCTGGAAAATAAAACAATGCAATCTTAATATTCACAGGTTCTATGGTTCTACCTATCTATTTATAGTTCTAGCTACGTCCACAGTGTAGACATGTAGTGTAACTAAAGAAGGAAAAATTAATTAAATGGCAGTTTCTACCAGGATACAAGGCCAGCTCTGCAATGGTCAATGTGAATAACTGCACACACAAATGGCCAGTTACGCATCTAACTGGTAGCGTATGCACAAGTGAGGCATGCAAATACATACCCACGGTTCTGAAAATCTGCGTCAAATGTCTAATATGAACAACAGTCACTTGTTTAAAAACAAAAACAGGTGCTCAATTGCTTTTGAAGTAGGATGTATTAATGTGGAGGACTGTCAGCCTCTATACTTGGAATTAACTGCCTATATTCCACAGTGCACATTTATTCTACCAAAATTAAGTAATTGTTTAAGGCAATTTTAAACCAAACAAATTGAACATACCGGAAAAGCTGACTGAGTTTGAACTTTCTGATCCATCAAAATAAATAAATAAATAAATAAATAAATAAAAGTTTTGGTCAGGATTTGGTACTTATTCCTAGGCACTCCATAACCTGGGGCTGATCCAGCCAAAACAAGCATGCACAACTTTCAGGCCATAAATACTCTGGATTTCCTAGACTCTGTAACAACAGTTACGCCTTAGTCAGGTTAAGAAAGGCAAAGAAATGCAAAAAACAATGGATTAGGTGTCTGTCCTGCCTCCTTCCCAGGGGGTGGTTTTTATGACCCAGCCCAGTCATTATATATGGCAATTAAAATTTTGGCAATGATTAGAGAGAGAACTAACTGAGTATGCTTAGCTAGTCCTAATTAGCCAGCAACACAGAAAAAAGTAGCCATTTTAATTGTTGGTGTTTTTCTGGCTGACACCTCCAGAATGGAACTTAGTCAGGGAGAAGAATTAAATTGCCATCTCCCCCCCTCCCCCCACCCATACAGCTCTTAAAGGAGGCAGAACATCTAGCAAGTATTCCTCAGACTACACCCCATTAATATTTTTAAAACTCCCAAAATATAGCATCATCTAACCTCTCTTGCACCAAGACAGACAGGATTATGTTATATCATTTTACAATCCCTTAAAAGATATTTATTTCTGTGTATGTTCTGGTTACTTCACCTTTAGTATGATATTTACTGACCTGCAAAAGTCACATGTATTTTTGAATAACTATAAATAAAGCACACCAAAACAGTAAGACATTAGTTCTTTTCTGAGCAGCATTTGCACGCATCTATCATTGCAAAGCAATGGACCTCAGGCCACATGACTTTTACCCATTTCAGAAACAATGAAATGCCTGGAATGTACTATTATACCAGGATTACATTTTACAGAAGTTAGGGAATGGAGATCATCTACAAGGCGCAAAGAGGCTTGTTTGTTTTATTAATATTAATATTAACATTAGAATTCTGCAATCTTCAAATTGGTTTTCTATAAAGTTATATCATCTTGGCCTAATGATCGCCATCTCAGCACTAACATGTGGGAGACATTATGGTACAATATGAAGCAGTAAAGGCTGGAACTGCTGCAAACTTTGTCAAATAAGGACAGAATATAATGTTGCTGCTTATTTTGGTGATGTTTTTATCTGGCACACTTTTCTATTGGACTCTGTCACCCTACTGCTTCCCTCACCTCCAATACACCAGTTCCCGTCAACAAAGGAAGTTAGGTTGGTTTAGCATGATTTGGCTATCACTTATCACCTTATCCTCTAGGTCAATGGTTCTCAAACTTTTGTACTGGTGACCCCTTTCACATAGCAAGCCTCTGAGTGCGACCCCTTATAAATTAAAAACACTTTTTTATATATTTAACATTATAAATGCTGGATGCAAAGCGCTGTTTGGGGTGGAGGCTGACAGATCGTGACCCCCCAAGAGGTCCCGACCGCCAGTTTGAGAACCTCTGCTTTAGGTGCTTACAATTTAATAATTTGTTTCAGTATCTTTCTGGGTAATGAAGTTATGATGACTGTGTTTTAATGGCCTGAGTCTTCCTTTTTCCCTGCTTTAAAGATAATAGTAGAGCTCTGCTATACTTAAGGTTAAGACCAGCTTCCTGTTTAAAGCTTGACTGTTCCAAGTGCTCTAAAATCCTTACGGTTACTCGGATTGCCTTGAAATCTGTGCGCCTCATGTGGGTTCAGTGTAGGGTCAGTAATCCAAATTTGGGGCCATTTGGATAAACTCTCTTTTTGGAAGAGTTGTTTCTTAAAGTTGACCTATTCTGGCACACAGAGATCAAGCCAGTACTCAGATCATCACATCAGGATCTATGAAGCTCAAGGGTTACCCCAACAGAGTGCATGGCACCCCCCAGCCCTTCTGGGGGAATCAAATTGGAATGTTATTTAAAAGAGAGTTTGCTTCTCCAGATAGGCCCACTCCAAGCAGTTCTAGTGCTCACACATCAAATGGATTACACTGTGCACAGGTAGAGAGAGCAGCTAACAATCTGAAAAACTCTCTCTACATCACAGAACCTGTGTGGCTCTGATGGTATGTTACAGTCATCAAATCCGAACACAGGATAATTTTGCTGTAATGTGGCTCTGTAAAAGGGTTTTTTTCATTCTGGGGAAATGTAATCAGAGTACAACAAAAATTTCAGAAGGCACTGAAACTACTTTTTGAAAAGAAAAACTACACAAGCAAATGCTCGCTAGGAGGGCAGGATGACTGGGGTGAAAGTAGGTGGGAATAAGGGGAGTGGATCTGGAGGAGGGGGCAAGTGACATGGGGACTGGGGAAGAATAGGGATAGGAGTGCCTGTCAGCTCTACACTCCCCTCCTGAGTGTGCTACAATATGGAAGCCCCCAGCCCATCTACAGGGATATAATCCCCCCCTTCCCCAAGTGATCTGGAAAGGCTTGCCTTTCTGGGGAGGGTCTGACCCCTCTCCTCACCCCTTCATGTGAGCTGGGATTTGGGGGTCCCTGCTCCCCAAAAGTATCTGAGCCTCACTCCCTGCCCTGCTGGGTGAGGGCCAGAAACTCAGGGGTTTGATTCTCTCCCCCCCGCTTCCTGACACCATTCATGTAAGCTGGAATACGGGATGTCTTGTCCCTCTAAGGGCTTCAGGGCCCATCTCACTACCCCCTCGCATATAAGTCAGGATCTGGGAAAGCCCTGCCCCTCTATGTGGGGAGCTTCGAATAGGCATGCTTGGAGCATGCACCAAGAACACATTGCTGATGCTGGGGTGAGGGGCTGAGAACAGACATGCTTGACGCATATCACAGCCTCTCCAGCATTGCGTAGAGCGGATGGGAACACTCACGGATATAAATGGAGTAAATCATAGAATATCAGGGTTGGAAGGGACCTCAGGAGGTCATCTAGTCCAACCCCCTGCTCAAAGCAGGACCAATACCAAACTAAATTATCCCAGCCAGGGCTTTGTCAAGCCTGACCTTAAAAACTTCTAAGGAAGGAGATTCCACCACCTCCCTAGGTAACCCATTCCAGTGCTTCACCACCCTCCTAGTGAAAAAGTTTTTCCTAATATCCAACCTAGACTTCCCGCACTGCAACTTGAGACCATTACTCCTTGTTCCATCATCTGCCACCACTGAGAACAGTCTAGATCCATCCTCTTTGGAACTCCCTTTCAGGTAGTTGAAAGCAGCTATCAAATCCCCCCTCATTCTTCTCTTCTGCAGACTAAAGAATCCCAGTTCCCTCAGCCTCTCCTCATAAGTCATGTGCTCCAGACCCCTAATCATTTTTGTTGCCTTCTGCTGGATTCTTTCCAATTTTTCCACATCCTTCTTGTAGTGTGGGGCCCAAAACTGGGCCTCTCTCACCAGCCTTGTTAGGAACTACACATTGCAAACATTTCAAAGCATGACCATTATCACCGCTCCACTATAACAAAATGTACAGGAGAAGCACTTAGATATCACATAGTAACTGTGTAGCTTAGTGGAAATACCACTAGACTGGCCTGGATGATCTTGGGCAAGCCACATCACTTCTCTGTGCCTCAGTTTCCCATGTGTAAAATGGAGATAATAAGAACATAAGAATGGCCATACTGGGTCAGACCAAAAGTTCATCTAGCCCAATATCCTGTCTTCTGACAATGGCCAATGCCAGGTGCCCCAGAGGGAATGAACAGAACAGGGAATTATCAAGTGATCCATTCCCTGTCACTCATTCCCAGCTTCTGGCAAACAGAGGATAGGGACACCATCCCTGCCCATCATTGCTAATAGCCATTGATGGACCCATACTCCATGAACTTATCTAGTTCTTTTTTGAACCTTGTTATAGTCTTGGCCTTCACGACATCCTCTGACAAAGACTTCCACAGACTGACTGTGCATTGTGTGAAGAAATACTTCCTTTTATTTGTTTTAAACTTGCTGATTATTAACTTCATTTGGTGACCCCTAGTTCTTGTATTATGAGAAGGAATAAATAACACTTCCTTATTTACTTTCTCCACACCAGTCATGATTTTATAGACCTCTATCATATCCCCCCTTAGTCATCTCTTTTCCAAGCTGAAAAGTCCCAGTCTTATTATTCTCTCCTCAAATAGAAGGCCTTCCATTCCCCTAATCATTTTTGTTGCCTTTTTCTGAACTTTTTCCAATTCCAATATATCTTTTTTGAGATGGGGCGCACACAGTATTCAAGATGTGGGTGTACCATTGATTAATATAGAGGCAATATGATATTTTATGTCTTACTATCTATCCCTTTCTTAATGATGCCCAACATTCGGTTAGCTTTTTTGACTGCTGCTGCACATTGAGTGGATTTTATTTAGGGAACTATCCACAATGACTCCAAGATCTTTTTCTTGAGTGGTAACAGTTAATTTAGACCCCATCACTTTATATGTATAGTTGGAATTGTGTTTTCCAATGTGCATTACTTTGCATTTATCAACAGTAGCTAGAACTCCGGACT